TTAGCTAAAAGAATTGGGCCATTCCAGCTCTAAGCCTATCATCATTATCATCACCATTACCATCACCAGCAATTTGTGTGGCCTTGGGCCAGTGCCTTCCCCTCCCTGGGCCCCAGTTCCTTCTTCTGGAAAATGAGGGGGTTGGCCTAGATGGCCTTGGAGATCCCTTCCAGCTCTAGGTCTGAGAGCCTATAAATTTCTCTTGGCCACGACTGCACAGTCACTGTTTGGACCTTCTTGGGCACAAAATGGTGGGATGAAATAAATGAATCATGGCAGATGGGAAAGGAATTAAACAGGCCATGTGTCCTGCCCATCTTTCTTAATTTCCCCCAGATGAGTGAGCTGAGATCCAATCCCTTTCTATTGCCTTCAGTAGTCCAGCCAAAATAAGACAGACCGGAAAAAAAAATGCCCGGGAGTTTATTCCCTTTTCCAGAACAAATGCTGTCCTGCTACTTAAATCCCAGTTAGGGAGATAAATGCTCCAGCTTTGTTTTCCCCACTTCTACACCATTTCCTTTTGCCCTCTGACATCTCCCAGAATTCAGTCGCTGACCAGGGACTGATCACATCCACCATTAACTAACTTTTCACTTACTGCATACCTTAATTTTTTTTTTCTCAGCACAGCACCCATTTAATGGCACCTGACAAACCTGGTCATTTATTCTCCTTACTAAGAGGACTAAACCTTTTCACTTGCATCAGTGATCCAAGAGCTAGAGTAAATGATGAAGTAAATTAATCCAAACGGTAGCATCCTTGGAGAGGAATTCAGGGACCCCTCTGCCCTTGGCTAAGACATTTCTCTTTGGAAGCAGAGGCCTGTTTGCAAACGGCAGGAGAAGGAAATTGTACTGACCCCTGGCATGCCAAGGCCTGCCCGAACCAGACAGGATAAGAGAAGACAAAACACATCCTAATGATTTCTGAGAGCAGGCTGTGCCCCAAAGATGGGACTGAGCAGGCCAAATGGCAAACATAGAGGAAGGCGTGGCCAAGGGACCGAGAGAGACATTAAGTGAGAGAAGGAAACAGGATGAATTTAAGCATCTGAAGAAGCTTTTCAGTGAGGGTAGTAAAAGAGGACAATGGGTAGAGGATTGGACTTGGAGTCAAGAAAACCAAAGTTCAAATCTTGCCTCAGACACTTACTAGATTTTGACATTGGGCAAGTCACTTCACCTCTCAATGCCTCAATTTCCTCATCTGTAAAATGTAATAGCACTTGCCTCCCAAGGTTGTTGTGAAGATCAAATGAGATAATGTTTGTAAAGCATTTTGCAAACCCTAAAATGTTATATAAGTGTTAGCTATGATTATTATGAGAATATTTTTATATTTTGGACTCTAGCCTGGAATGCTGAAGGCTGAGAAGACATATGATCCAAGTCTATAAAATCAGGAAGGAAATAAGAAGGGGAACACAATCTTGTCCACTGAAGTAGAGGACTAGAGCTACAGGACTCACTCTGACTCCAACCCTGAGCTTGAAAGTTGTAGGGTAAATAAAAAGAAACACAAATACTTCCCTATCATAGAGAATGACCTTCTGACTGGCAAGGATGGAATCACCATCTAAAGACTAGGTAGAGGTCACTTGGCTGGCCGCTTCTGCTGGAAATGAGTTCAGCTCTCCAGGTCCAGATGAATTATACCTGGGGTCCTAAAAGAATCTGTACATGTGGTCACAGAAATGCTAGTGTCGATCAGGTAGAGTAGAAGAGGTACCAGAAGCCTGAAGGTGGACAAATGTCCCAGTTTTTAAAGGGAGAAGAGAGAAGGCAGGGGAGAAGAAATTTTGGAAACTCAACTGGTGAACTTGATTTTGATCCCCAGGGAAATTCTGGAACAGAACAGTAATCAGATTATTTATGAATGTTTATAAAAGGAAACCGTAATCACTAGGAAATAGCATGGGTTCACTTAGAGCAAGTCATGCCAAATTAACCTCATTTCCCTTGTTACCAAGGTAACGAGGCTGGTAGCTAAGGAGTTAGATGTAGTATCCCTTGATTTTAGCAAAACATTTGAGGAGTACTGAACGCTAACTGTTTTCAGACAAGATAGGAAAGCATGGCTAGAAGAGGATAGTCAGGTTGAATTTGGAGCTAATTCATAGGCTCATATGAACCTAGACCTAGCTAGCCAACATTCAAAGAGTGCTTTAAGGTTTAGAAAGAATTTTACAAATGTTATCTTATTTGATCCCTACAACCACCCTGAAAGGCAGGTACTATTATTATCCCCATTTTATAGATGAAAAGACTGAGGCCAAAAGAAGTTAAATTTGTCACCAAGGGTCACCTAGCTAATAAGTATCTGAAGTAGGATTCAAACTTAGGTCTTCCTGACTCCAAGTCTAGCACTCTATCACATAGCTGCCTAGATCTGGAAGGGACCTCAGAAGCCAACTAGTCCAACCCCCTCATTTTACAGAGGAGGAAACTGAGGCCCAGGGAGGGGAAGTGACTTGCCCAAGATCAAACAATTTGTTGATGATGGTGATGATGACAACAATGACAATTGCTTCTATTACTTTAATATTTCAAAGATTCGTGATTTCGTTGACGTGACTTGTCTCTCATATAGATCGTAACACCACTATCACTTGGCAGCTAGTCTTCAATATCTGCCATTACAAATGTGTGTGTGTGTGTGTGTGTGTGTGTGTGTGTGTGTGTGTGTGTGTATCATGGCCCTACTGGCTACCTTGGTGATGAGCCCCTCCATACTGAATTAGGCTGTAAGTCACCAAACTAATAGTTGATACTCATACAGCATTGTAAATGTTTCCAAAGCTCTTTATATACATTATAACATTTGAGCCTCACTACAACCTGCTGTGGATATGCACTGTGTGACAGCATCTGCCTTAGCCTGGCCCCTTCTCCTCCTACCCGACTGCTACTAACATAGCAAAACTTAAAGGCAAAAATTAGAAACGTTTTTGAAGCTCGGATACCAATTTCGGAAGCTTTAGAAGTTAGGATGACAGTCCTTAAAAGGGCATAGATAAGCTGAAGGGTCCTGAGGTCATGCCATAAAAGAATCAATTGAAGGAATGGGGGAAGAGAAGACCTTAGGGAGATATTAGAGCTCTCTTCCAGGATCATCATGCAAAAGAGGGATTAGACATGCTCTCCTCAGCAGATGGATTACAGAGACAGAGATATTAGCTTGAAACATCGACGAATATCACAACAATTAGATTTGTGTTTGAAGCAGCTCCCTCCTTCCAACAAGTCCAGTGTTTTCTCTACTATACCAGAATCACAGAATTTGAGAGTTAGAAGGAATCTCAGTGACCATCTAGTCTGACCCATAGACTGCACTGCCTCTTAGAAGGAAACTAGGACTCAGAGAGATGAAATCATTTGCCCAAGGTTACACGATAAATAAGAGGCAGAGGCTTACCTAAACCCAGGTTTACTATTTTGCCCCGTGGTCTTCGTCTTCTGGGGATGACCAGTGACTACCATCATGCCCCAATAGAACATGGCACCTCATCTTTCACAGAGATCTTGATAATAGATCAAAAAATTTCATTCAAAGTCATGACCCCCAATGCCAGGATTTTCCATTCATCTATTTAACAAATACTTATTAAGCACCCACTATGCAAAAGGCCCTGTGCTCAATCCAGGGCTTGCAAAGATAGAAACAATATAGACTTTACCCTCAGAAATCTTATTATCTGTAACCTTGGAGAACACTTCAGTCCACTTGCTTAATCCTGTTCAACAATAAGGACCAGGCACTGGCAACTCCATGCTCACCCCAGGCTCTCTATGGTTTTCTGGGAACTGGCTACCTTTATTCAGTAGCTCTGCTCTTTTTTGTGGGTGGTAGTTCTTGTCTCATTAGTCTAGTGTGTGTATATTTATCCAATTAGACTCATGCGGTGTTTGCTGTTCCAAACATGAGAGACAGTATGAACACAGGCAGAGGTGGAAGGAAGGCAGCATTAGGAAGGGGGACGAGAACGTTGGCCAGTTTGGGTAAAATGCAAAGCACAGAAATATGGGTTTGAGCCAGATGGGAGCGGGCCTCAATGGGTAGTTGGGAGCGCCAAGTTTAAAAGGTCCCCTATCCATGATAGTCTGGCCCTGACAACTCATGATTCCTCCAAAACGACTTAGATTTACACCAGCTTCCCTGAGACTAGCATGTGCGAGACCTGGAATAGCAGTACTTGCTCACGTGAACCCTCTAGAATGATGGAATGATATGATAGAATGATCATGATAGAATGATTATGATTAATCATTTATGATTATGATAGAATCATATGTTATGATAGAATCCTAGATCAAGAGCTGGAAGAGACCTCTAAGGCCATCTAGTCCAACCCCCTAATTTTACAGAGGAATAAACTGAGGCCCATAGAAGTTATGTGGCATGCCTAAGGTCATACCCAGAATCATAGATCTATAGTTGGAAAGGACTCCCTCATTTTATAGAAGAGGAAACTGAGGCCCAGGGAGGGGAAGCAACCTACCCAAAGTAACACAGGTAATAAGTGTCAGAGGCAGGATTTGACCCTAGGTGCTCTGGCTTCAAAGTCAGTGTTCTTTCTACTGTTGAAAAAGGGTCGAGGGAAATGGCCAGATCTAGCCAGGTGAAGAGAAGACTGAAGGGGGATGTGATCAGGACTTTTTAATGTTTAATGGGCTGTCAATCAGGAAGAGGGCTCCGATTTGTTCTGCATGAGTAGCTCTAGCAAGGAGAGCTAGGACCAATGGAGGAAAGTTACAAGGAGGCAGATTCTGACCTGATATAAGGAGGAGCTTCCAACAAAGTTGTCCCAAAACAGAAATGGCCTTCCGGAGAAGCAGTAAACTTTCTGTTGCTAGAGGTGTTCAAACAGAAGCTGTAGAACCACCTGTGGAAGCAGTCACAGAGTACATCGGGTGAGGGGTTGGGCTGGATGACCCCTGAGGTCCATTTGAACTATGAGAATCTGATTCTATGCACTGATCTCTCATTGATTACAGCGATCCAAAATAGCTGTCTACGAGAAAATGTGGTCGTACATGAAATCAGCCGAACCATCAGTGTTTACCAAAACCACAGCTGACGGTGTGGCCAGAGTGCGGAAGTCCAAAGGAAAGTTCGCCTTCCTGCTGGAGTCAACCATGAACGAGTATATTGAGCAGAGAAAGCCGTGTGATACCATGAAAGTTGGTGGAAATCTGGATTCCAAAGGCTATGGTGTGGCAACCCCTAAAGGCTCAACATTAAGGTGGGTGGAATAATATAACAATATCCATGTTGTTATAGTATTCCACCTACCCTGATGTACTTTGTTGTCATTTTCTTTCTTGTGGATTTTGAGGTAACTTAACAGTTTAAAAATCTACACTATTCCATGGAGTTAAATAAGACGGTAAATGATGGTTTCATCTATTTAATGCATCCTTTTTTTTTTTCAATGTTCTCTCTGTGTTGTCCTCTCTGACTGTTTGTTGCTGTTTTAATTTTACAGTTCAACGGCTTTTTCAATTTAAATGGTAAAAGCCAAGTTATGGTGCCATGTGTGACGAATGTTAATTGCATGGATGTGGCAGTCTAGTTACTTTTTTTCTCAAAGACAATTTCCCCATCCCGCACACTTCAGTTTTGAGCAAACGTTATCCTACATGCCACCTTCCAATATTTAACCCTGTATTTGCTGTACAGACATTTTTCTAGCTCCCCGTTCTGTGCAATTTCGCCAATTTGTCCTCTTGTGCTCCTTTTTTATACGTTAACGATTTCCTAAGCATTTGTGCATTTTCTTACAAGTTATGTTTTATCGTTTCAAGAAATGCTGTTAACCTGGCAGTATTAAAACTGAATGAGCAAGGCCTCTTGGACAAATTGAAAAACAAATGGTGGTACGACAAAGGAGAGTGCGGCAGCGGGGGCGGTGACTCCAAGGTCAGCCTCAATGTCACCACAACCGGGTACCCTTAGTGACGAGTAATCGGCAAGACTGTTATCTTACTATTGAGGAGACTGTATGGCAAGATGCACCCAAAAGTCCGGTGGCTTTTGAACCCGGACAGTGCTCGTGGCGCTGCTATCGATTTTGATCTAACTGGGTCCCTTCTTAAACTCCCAGACAGACATTCCCCAACCATATTGACTTCCTCCCTTTTCCCCCTCCTCTTCCCCACCCCCATTAGGATTGATTTGTGAAGGCCATTAGCAGCCTAGGCTGGTAAGGGTCCAGAGATTGCCCCTGAGGCAGTCCCTGTCCACCTTTGCCAAGTGGTAGTAGCCATGAAAACAGCCCTGGACATTGAAATGACAGCTCGTGGGCTTTTTCTCCCAGGACATCATGCTACTAGAACTTGGTTGGTTGGCTAACCAATCAGGGCTGACTGTTGTGAAGATGAACATGAAGTGATAACATATTGCTCTCTATTTGTGATGGCCAATTGAAGACAACCCCCATTTAACTTGACAGCAAAAACAATGGGCTCTGCTTCAAGTTAAGTGGGGGGAGAGTTTCTCTTCAGTGGGCCACCCCGGGTTTAGGCTGTATGAAGCATTTTGTAGATTTTAGCAGGGATGTTGCATAACTCGGTTGCTGTATGTGGTATCACTTCCTGATTTGTCCTCTCCTTAGACCCGTTCCTGGCTCAGGTAGGTGTGATCCAGATAGTGGTGAGAAGTCCCATCTTACTTGGCATTCCTTTGGCTCAGTAACTCTCATCAGGGCTAGCAGGAATAGTGATCAACCAAACAGCAAGGGATAGGGGCAAGCTCAGAAGCCACAGGACCAAATGACCCACTGGTGGAAAAAAATGCTCGGTAAGTAGGAGTGAGAACCTCAACTCGGGCCCCCACTGTGGCCCGAGATGTGAGACTCCAATAAATTATGGAAGACCAGTCTTTGTCTAATCAAAATATTACAGCTACCCTAAGGTCTATGATACATCCCCCCATACAAGCTTCAAGATGCCTTTTCATAACATGCAGTCTGTCAAGGCATTGGCTCTGATTTTTATAGTAAAGCCTCAATTAACCAGAAACTAATCAACAAGTCCTTCAGTCAACAAGAAATGTTCTCCCTGGGATCCACTTAGACAAGACCAGCAAATTGTGCAGAAAAAGAAAATATATAGCCAAGATTTTGTTTTCAGAAAAATCATTTTCCAGGCTCAGCCCAACTCTTCCACCATTTCTATCTCCATCTCTGGTGCCTGGCACAGATCACTGATGATCTGAAGAATGGCCCCGAAGCTCTAGCCAATCCCCAATAAGGAAAGATTCAGACCTAGTCACTGGACTGATTTTAGTAAGGAAAAAAGTGAACCCTGAAAAATTATAGAAAATTTCCAGCAGCTAAAAGAAAGAGCACCAATTGTCATGCTTAGGTCACCAGAAAATTCTGCTCCTGTTAAATACCCCATTCCCAAAGTGTTCTGGTTAATCAAGGTGTTACTATGTGACAAAAGGCAGTGACTCCATCTCTACCACAATGTGGGTGGAAGGCATTAAAAGGTAAAGCCCTATCTTGGGTATGGCTAACCTCTTGCCCAAAGTAACCAACTACCTGGTTACTGATCTTCTTCTTCTGAAACTAACAGGACCCAGGGGCCCTTTTTACATCATTCATGTGAATTGCCAAGTGAAACTCTGGGTACTAACTGACCAAGTCAGTGGCTCTCATGAATGCCTCATTCATGCTCAATGTGAGATGTTGACGCCAGATAACACCAAAACATCTGGATGAGAAGACAGAAACGTTGACCTCTCATTCAGAATGTTTTGTCTATGTGGTCGAAATGTTCAGGTCTCACAGACTGTCAGGGACCTTAGACATCCTCTCTAGCCCAATTCCCAAATTTTTAGAATGGGGAAATAGAGGGAAACAGACTTGATCAAAGTCATATGGTCAGTGAGTGGCTAAGTCGGGACTAGAACCCAGGTCTCCTACTCTTTCCCCCATTGATATTCCCAAACATCCAGCCATTTGCTAAGAGTTAGACAAAACATCCAAATGGCGAGCTTTCTTCTTGTTATCCAGATGCGTTGGCATGATGATGAAGGTTGGCTTGGGGAGAGCACCTTCAAGCTCCACCCCCAAAAGCTTTGGGCAGGCTGTGATTACAAATCATGTATGTGACTGGAACTTTTTTCAGGGAAGGGAGTCATACTTCTTTTAGAAGTTTTTCTCAAGGCAGTTTCTTACTAGTCCCCTGCCTCCAAGTCATCAAGCCTTGACCATGCCGCTAGTGACTTTTTAAATTACCATTCTTTCCTACTGTGTCCTAAAAGTTTCCACCATCCCCAAGCTCACAATACTCCTTGCTCAGCAGCCTAGATCAGTTACTCTTCCACATGGCCTTGCAAGATGTTAATCTACCTTTCACATCATGTGTACTTGTCACATCTGGACTACTCAGGGCCTGATTATCCAGTCGGTGGATTATCCATCTGCTCGCCTTCTTCCTCTTTCTGTTTCCCACCTGCTGTGTTCTGGCATATCAGAGGGTAGGCAAGGGAAGGGACAGCCAATGAAACAAGTCCATTTTGCCCCCTCCTTAGCAAATGGCATTTAAAAAGATAAATAAAGGTGGTGGCGGAGATTTCCATTGGAACCCCTAATTCTGAAAAGTCAGACACGGACCAGGCTGAAGTTTATCTCTCTGCTATCTACACCCAAAAGGCAAGTTTGATACAGAGATTGAATGTAGAAAAGTTCATAAAGGAAATGGCTCCTTAAGATAATTATCTCTTCATGAATTATAACAACAGTCCTTTTATCAAGTGTTCTCAACCTTTTTTGTGCTCCACACCCCTTGGGCTGCCTTGTAAAACCTATGGACCCCTTCTCAGAATGTTTTTAAGAACGTAAAATGAGATACATAGGAGTATGAAGGAAACCAATTATATTGAAATAAAGATGTAATTTTTCCCCATCTAATTTCATGGACCTCGGGTTAAAAATTCCTGCCTTATAAATAAAAAATAAATAAATGTACCAGTAGCAAATCTATTCCTTAAAGTAGGTCCCTTGAGCCAATGCTGTAAAACTCAGATAGAAACAGGGACCACATATTGACTTAGCTTTTAAAATGTGATGTTATCTACATTTTATGGCATTTTTATTTATTTTGTTTAAATATTTCCTACTTACATTTTAAACTGATTCAGAGCCCACTTGGGAGTGTTGCAAGCCATGTGTTTGACACTTCTGCCCTAAGCATCTTCCACTAGGAAGCATTTTATTAGAGTTATTTGGGTACCAGGCCTGTGATTTCATGGCTACAGAAAATTCCCAGTGAGGAAACTCCCTTAACCAGTGCAGACTGACACCTTCTCTGCAATGTAAAACTTTAGAAGCTTGCCTGGTGCCCAAGAGGGTAAGTGATTTGCCCAAGGTCACATGGCCAGTGTAGGTCAAAAGTGGGACTTGAGCTCACATCTCCTAACTCTAAGGGGCAGCTCCTCATCCACTATCGTATGTCATGCTGTCTCCTTGTTTGAGTTGTAATGTGTGTTTAGAATTATAGAATTCTAGGATGTTAAAACTGAAAAGAAATCTTAGAAGACAGAATGACAGAGAGAGAAGGTGCCTTAGAACAGAGAATATAGAATCTTAGATCTGGAAGGGACTTAAAACATAGAAAATGATCTTTTCTTCTTCATTACAAGGGATGACTGTCTGGGTGGGGAAGCAGGGAAGGACATATTTAGACATGCAAGTTATATGACAATGAAAGATACCAATGAAAACAATTTAAAGAACATGGAACATAGAAGACCAAAGTCCAGAGCATTTCGAGAACAGAGAACAGAGAATTTCAGACCAGAAGACCTTCAAGATCATCCAGGCCAACCCAACTCATTTTACAGATGAGGAAACTGAAGCCCAGAGAGGGGAGATGATAAATCCGTATTGTCAAAGAGTCAATAATTCAGGCTGTTCATTAATTCAGACTTGCCATCCCCACCCCCACCTCAGTTAGCCCTAATCCCTAAGTCTTCACTGTGTAAGCTAAAACAATTTGAGGACTGCACTTACATCATCCCTTTCTACAATTACCACCATCAAGAATCCAAGAATCAAAAAGAGTACAATCCTTTGACCTAGATAATATGAGGCCCCGAGAAGGTAGGGAGTTAGGAGATCACAAAGCTGATGCAGTAGAAAGCTCTGCCGACCTCCAGGGTCACCACTTATAAAGCCACCTCAGAAGGTCAGTTTCTCATGGGTACCCATCCAGTGAGCAACATGAATGGGACTGA